TGTCCTGTTCGCATGTAGCACATAACTCTCCAAGTCCATTCACCTATATCAAATATTGCAACCAAAAAGTTACATTTAAACTTCCAAATTAACCTCCAAGCCAAAGCCAGTCAAAAGATGAGGCCCTGGAAAGATGAATATGGGAGACTAAATCCTCGCTGAGTACAAAAGCCACCTCTCAATAATTAATCTATTGTTAGAAGGCTGGGCATTAGAATGTGACGTTCAGCAATGCGCTTATACATTATTCATGCAACAAACATTTATTGAGGATCTACTACATGCTGAACAATATTCTAGATGCTGAGGGTGCTTGTGGTCCTTTCATCAATACTATAAAATTTACATCAACACTACTCTGAGCTGAGTGAAGAATAATTTGTGTAGGTGCCCCACAGTCTGTGCAGCATCTAGCATCTAAGAGTTACTCAATGGATGGATGTTAAATGAATGGAACTCTATTTAACTTTTATGGCTTACCAGGATTGTCCAGTTGCTTTAATAAAAAATTCTTTTGGCCCAAGAAGCTAGGCATCTTGATAAATGAAACTGCTAATTACCTAGATAGTATGTGTACACCATGTATTTCAAGTATAGACATTTGTTGGCGAGTATTTGTGAAGCCATAAGAGGACAAGTTTAGACTATTTTGTATTTATAAGGTTATCATTGCAGGGATAGGAAGATGTATGGAAAAATTCAGACCACAAAGGGTTAAACTAGAAACCCACAGCCACAAGAGATAAGAACAATGAGTTCACGGTTTTGAAAGCAAAAAACTAGGAGAGAACAATGAGCAAACGAAAAAGAATGTTTGTTTATTGATTTACTTTCTATTATGGAAAGTTTCAACATAAGAAAAGTGAAGAGAATAGTATAATAAATGCCCATGTGCCCACCACCTGGAGTCATCAACGACCAGCTCATGGTTAATCATGTTTTATCTATACCTCTACCCATATGATTTTGAGGGAAATCTCAGCTATTATGATGAAGAAAATGTCTTAGAATAGTAGACAGCTGGTGGTTGTTGAAGCTGGGTGATGGATATGTGGAGTTTCATTGTTTTTTTTTCACTTTTATATGTGTTTGAAGGATTCCATAATACACAGATTAACAAATAGAGACTTATGCTTTTACCATTACAGAAAATTATGTCAGCAAATAGAATAAATAATACTCTTTCTCCTAAACTTGTATTTCACCTCAATATTACATATTCTTAATAAAAGCTTTCATGTTTAAAAAATAAAACAAGCAGTGACAGTCTGGCAATACAGCTTTTACAAATTATTTACATAGAAGCTTCTAACAGAAAAGCAACAACACTTTTTTCCTCATCTAAAAGTGGTTATATTTAATGACTACTTACGCTGGGCTGGCACTTTGCTAAGTGCTCTGAATTGCAAGGCACAGTGAGCCGAGGTTTCAGGGAGGGAGAGGTTGGCATACAGCCAAGAAGGGCTGTCTAACAGCCAGAGGTTAGATAGATCCACTGCCTCTGGAGAGAGTGAGCTCCATGGCAGTGGGGTTCACATTGAGGCTGGGTGACCGCTTGACTGTCAACGGGCATCGGTGGTTATTGGACTTCAGTAGTCACCATAGTCGTGGATCACTGGGTCTGTCTGCAGATTGACAGTGAATAGTCTCCTCACCCTGAGTGAAGAGTCCCCTTCGCACTAAATTAAAAGCTGGTCATCTTGGGCCTATTGTAGGCTTCATATGAGATGAATCAGTCACTGGTGCGTCTGATCAGGGTTGGGCTAGATGACCTCCCAGACCCCTTCCGCTCCTTGATTCTGTTCTATACACTTTTATATTTCCAGGTCACATGGTGGAGGCTCAGTCAAAGTAATTGAATGCAACCATGATCTGGGATTATTCTGTAACTGCCATGAAATACACATTTGCTCTCCAGAGAAGTTGCCCCTCACTTTCAAAGGAAAGAACCAGAGTTTTTCTTCATTGCTTTTCTTGGAGAGGTCATGCTTGGAGAGAGGGCAGTGTGTGGCACAATGGAATTTTCCTCCTCCTTCATCCCCTACTTTCCTTCTCATCTTTCCCTTGGTGAGTAAAGGGTCTTTGATATAATAGAATGAAAGGAGAGAAACTTGGCTAACGAATCAAAGTTATGCAGTGATAGGTGGTCAGTATTAGTAGAAGGAAGCTTTATTTGCTTGAAGATGCTCCATTCTGAAGACTGAATCAGGGCCCTGAAGATAAACCTGAAGAGCAGAAGAGATCGCAGAGGAGAAGACAGAAAGGAGATCAGAGAGGGAAGGGAAAATTCTGGACATGCATCCTTGGTGGACTCTCACTGTGCTGATGGGTGACTTGACAGAAAAGTAAAGGAAAGTTGTGCACTGTCCTCTGAATTCTATGAGTATGATATTCAACCACAGTGTAAGATTTTTTGATAATGGACTGCACCCTTATTCTTTTCTAGACATTCCATGAAAAACCAAGTTGTTAGAGTTGAACAGCTGCATATCTTTCTAGAACCACCCTGGGATGCTAATCTCTAGGAGCGGGACACAATTCAATTTTGAAGAGGATGCATTTCCATGGTAGTGGCTGACCAACAACAGGAGCATACATTAGGCTAAGTTCTCATGTCATAGGTTATAAAAGGCTCTAAGTTAGTCTAGGTGACCTGGTTGATTGACGTCATTGGACATGGAAAGAATGAGACTCATGCAGTTCATATCCATGTGCTTAGTACACAGCCTGATACATAGTGGTTGAGAATTCAGTTTTTTGAATCCATAAATGAATTAAAAATTTGCTGCTTCCTGACATGTAATGTTGCTGGACCTTGCCCCTTCTTCAGAATAAGGGGAAAGAAGCTGTCTTTTATTTTGGATCAAATATCCTGAAAATGAGGACAACAGTTTTTGAAGACTTGGTAATTTCTCTCAAATATGCCCTTCTTTTACCTCCCGGACCATGGCACAGTACCTCTGTTACAAGCTATGGAATGTTTCCTGGCCAAAGGTCAGGTCATGAGCAGAAAATAAAAATAAGCACAAAAATAAAACAGAGTTTTGTGGGGATAAGAGATCAAGAGCATGAAGACTGGGGGAATTGAGAATTTGGGCTGTGACAAATGGGGATGAGGCATGGCTGTAGCTCTGATAGAGCCCTGCACAACAGTGGCACATGCGACTCACAAAATTGAGTGACGGCTTGGAAGAACAGCTCAATGGTGGTAGTGAGGGAAGGAGGGGAAGGAGAGGAAAATATTGTTATACATCATGATTGGCATGCAGGGGTGGGTGGTAGCGGTAGGCTGAGTACTTTTCTGGTTATGTTTTGGGGTTGGGCTTACTGGATTTAGTTTACTCTTTGCTACTTTGCCTCTCCAATCCTTAGTTTACTTTTTTGCAAAATGACGTCAACCTCTACTTACATCATAGAATTTGACATAGCTTTCTCAAGGCACTAAGCTTTTTGCAGGATAAGAAATGATTGGGCATTGTGGAAGATGGTCTCCAAAGATGGCCACCATCAATTCCTTACCTCTCTGTAGGCACATGCCACTTCCCCACCAAGAGGTTGAGTTTATTTCCCATCCTCTTAAATCTGGCCCTGTGATTGCTTTGACCAATAGAATATGATGGGGGTGATGTTCTGGGATTTCTGACCCCGATATTAAGAGGGCTGGCAGCTTCCATTTGTTTCCTCTTGAAATCCTCCTTTTTGGAAACCAACCACCATGCAGTGAGAAAGCCTAAGCAGCTAAGCTGAGGGCCTAAGCAGAGGAGTATCAGAAAAGTGAACAAGGCAGTCTGAAAGTCCACAAATGGCAGAAACATTGTGGAGAAGGAAGGCAAACCTATGTGCATAGTAATTGTCTGTTCCAGTGAGAACAAAGCTCTGCCCCTTCGTGGATGGAAACAGTCCAGTATGATTAAACTGCCACCAGGTGGTTGGCTGATTCTCCAAGGAATCACGCCCCACTCAAGTGTTCAGTGTTGCTCTCTGCTACAGGCATTTAGACGTGCAGCAGTGGACTTAGAGAGTACCTTATTTACTACGGTGATATTTCATATAGCATTGCTTCTGAAAAGGAATTCATTTTAAAGTGAATGAAACCTGGCAATAGGCTCATGCACATGGAATTCATTCATCTCACCATATCCCCCTGAAGCATCTGGTATGATTGAACAGTAGGATGGCCTTTGGAAGACTCAGTTATAGAACCATCTACATGACAGCACCTTGCCGGGCTGGGGTAATGTTCTCCAGGATGTGGCATATGCTCTGAATTAGCAACCAAGATTTGGTGCTGTTTTTCTCAGACCCAAGAATTAAGAGGTGGAAATACTCTCTCAAAATTACCCCTAATGGTACACTAGTGCTTTTGTTTGTTTGTTTTTTGTTTGATTCTTTGCTTTCTGTCCTGACAACTTTGGACTCTGCTGGTTTAGAGGTCTTGGTTCCCAATGGAGGGATGTTTCCACCAGGGAACAAAACAGTAGTTCCATTAAATTGGAAGCTGAGACTACTACTTGGACTCTTTCTTTATACCAATAAACCAACAGATTATGGAGGTGCTTACTATTGGGTTCAGCAAGGGTGGAACATTCTGAGAAGAAAAATTCTTTGTTGTGGAACTGTCAGACACATTTAGATCCTTGGTCCCTGGGCACTGAGTGCCAGTAGAAATTCTAGTAATTGACTCATCCCCCCCAAATACCCCTCCCCTTTCCCAAATGCCCCTTAGGGGTATGGAATTGCCTGTGGATGAAAATCACTTTCCATTAATGCATCATTTCAAGAGTGACAGAGTTTATTTTGTAACATTTTGATAAGCAATAATAGAATAATAAGCTTTATAAAGTATTTCTTATTGAATGAAATAACAAATTAGAGACATGGTTTTCTTTTCTGTTTTTTTCACTATTCTATTTTCTAGTTGGGGATTTGGTTTATTTTTTTTTTCTTTCTTGCATTTTAGTGTTTTTTATCATTTCCAAATCTCAGGGATATTTACAGGATAATAATAGTTAGGGATTTAGTTTTAAACCATTTTATGGATTTAAATCATGATCACAAACTTTAAGAAATTGGCCAAGGTGAGGCCATTGGCTTTAAAGATGTTTAGATTGGCAATCTCTAAATTGTGGATTTCATAGCATCGGAGTTCACTTGACAGAGAACAAGTTTCAATAGGGTTACCCATCTTGATAGAAATTCTATTTTATTAGAAAAAACATTCTGCTATACAGAAGGATGTGTTACATTGGTCTCTGCATAGCAAGCTCAGGTCCTAAATTAAACATAACTTGTGCCAATGGGAATTGCATCAGCTGATTACACACACACACACACACACACACACACACACACAATGCTGGTAATTCTTACCTTCTGTGTTCTTGTTTTTCATCATAATGTTTATTGTAGTAACAACTGCAAAATACTTCTAGAGAATTCGTTCCTGGTTGGGTAACACACTTTGGCTCCAGGGCAAGTTCCATAAGCTTCTCTTAGTTTCACAAACTTTCTGGGAATGTCCTAGGCCTCCATTCTCACCTTGGCCCATGGCTGCAACCTTAGCACCCCTTAGCTTAGCTCATCCCTCTGAGGCTGGTTAAGTCAGTTCACTTCATTAGGCATTGACTGCCTTAATTCAGAGGCAAGAATAGTGACTTGAAGGATAAAAGTTTGATGAACTTAAAAATCCTTTCTAGTGTTAATAGTCAAAGGCTCCGATTTAATTTCTGTCCTTCTTACTGTGTGCAGTACAAAGCTAGTGGAGTGACACCTCCCCAGAGCTCCTCAGCTATGTAGCAGGCCCCAAGGAGACAGACCCTGACTCCAGACACTACTTGCAATGCCTCATTAGAAGCTTCCCTCCTCCATCCGCTGGCCTCTATCCTACCTTCTGCCCCAAGGATTCAGGTTTCTAGGTACAAAGGTCTTTGAAACCATATGTCGTTCCAATCAGAGGGGGCCTTAATGTTACCATCTGATCTAATTTTTCATCAAACAGGTGGACAAACTGAGGCCAAGAGAAGAGAAATGACTTGCCCAAGATCACAAAGTCAGCCAGTAGCAGAGCTGGGATATATATTTATATCTCCAGACTTCCAGTTCAGTGTTCCTTCCACTGAACCAGGGTGCCTATCACCAAATGCTTATGGCTTCATAGGAATGGCTTCATGCGCTATCTTTTCTTTGGTAAGATTTCAAGCTGAATTTCTCTTTCAGCTCTAAAATATTTACACTGGCCATCAGGGGTCTGTGGACACTGTTGCTCCATTAAGTTCAGCAGCAGAGGTGGTATCTGCAGTAGTAACAGGGAGTCTGGTGGGTCAAACACGCTTTACTCCTCTTCCCAGGGGCTGTGGCCTCAGTGTGGCCTAGTGAGCCATTTGCTGCAAGGACACGAATCTCAACTCTCAGAGTCCGGAATGACCATACCCAGTGATGAGAAAGACATATTTATTTAGCAAATGTCTTGTTCTAGATTCCATGCTGGGCAGTACAGTGATTAAAGCTGTGGCTTTGAAGACAGTCATCTTGGTTCAAATCCCAGTTGCACTGATTATTAGCTGTTGGATCTTGGACAAGTTACCTAACCTCTCTGATTTGGCTTACATATTTGCAAAATGGAGCTGCTGCTGCTATTACCTACCTATAGAGGTTGTTATTAGGATGAAATAAATTAATATGTATAAAGCACTTAGGACAATGCCTGATACCTAGTAAGTACTATACAGTGATTACTGTTACTATGCAAGTTAAAGATATGTTCACAAAGAACATCGATACATGTTTTGCCAGAATAAAATGATACACATCAAATAGCTACTTAGAAAGATACAAGGCAATTCAAAAAGAACACAGGCAAGTGATTCCAGAGACCCTGCTTTTAATCACTACAGATACTCCTTCCTTATCATCCCATTGCCAAGATGAATGAACTGAGGCTAAAATAAAGTAGGTCAAGGCACCAAGCATTCATGCAGAGGCAGAGGAGCAACTGGAAGACGGTCTCCGGTACCAGACGGGAGATTTAGGCCCTTGTTTTCATCCCTACACTCAGGATCTGCAGGCTGTCTACAAGTCACACTGCTTGAAGAGACTGCTCAGATTCTTCTGCCACATCAAGCTTCCGTAGAGAGTAGAGTGAAGAGATGTGTTTTCCAGCTACAGGAAGCATCATCTCTGATGCCTGGAATGCAGGTCCATGAGCTTCATCAATAGGTTTTATACAAATAGATAGCAAGAGTATAATTGTGAGAGACTGAAAAAAAAAATAAATTTAATGCCCCCAAATAGAGGACTGGCTAAATAAATTATGCCTAGCCCTACACCAGAATACAGGCAGCCTACAGGTTGGAGTGATATTAATGAGCTAGAAAAATATTCATGATATATTGTTATTTAAAAAATAGATCACAGCGTGGTATGTAGAATATGTGTAGGTTTATACACATAAATGCATATACACACATATACACACGCATACAGAAGAACAGCAGGCAGGGTACATATGGCGTAACATTAACAGTGATTATCTTGAGCATGGATCTTAGGAAGAGTCTTATTTTTGCCTTATTTTATCTATATTTTCCAATTTTTCTATAATAAACCTGTATGACTTTTATAAAGGAAAAATGATTTATTAAAAAATAGCAGGAGAGGCACCTATAGAAAAGGCTGTTTTTTCCCATGGATATTGTGTTCCTCTTCTACAATCAAGTTGAAAATCATCTTTTCTGCTCCTGCCAGGCTGATGGAATGGCTCCCACCTTTGAGCACAGGTGGCTGGTCTTACACTTGGCTGTCACAGCACAGATCCCGTTGTGTTCTGGTTACTCGGTACATACCCAGTTACAACCACCTGTCATAGAACCTGGCATATGTTTGAAATGAATGAATTAATGAATTGGTATGGCCTCAAGAGCTTAGTGAGTCCCAGGCTCCTGATCTGTACCGTGGCAATAACAATTGTGGGTAAAGAGACCTCCAGTCATTTTTGTAAATGGCAAGTGCTGGTCACGAGATGTGTGGGGGTGCAGAGAGAGTTTATTATTATTGCTGCATCTATTAACAGGTCTATATCTTCCCATCCCTTAATTCTCTTTGGCTCCCTAAGGCATCATGGTTACCATAGCAGCTAGATGCTGATGATGCCTTCAGGGGCAGGAAGGTGAAGCTGAACCAGCTCCCAGGTCCTTGCCTCCACATGCCCTTTGCAGGCCAGAGTGACTTGGGCTGAAGCTCAGCCTCTTTCAGGCCCCCCATCCTGCCTCGGGTACTGAGACCGACAAACCCTGCCTCTGCAGACTCAGTTCAGGGCCCTGAAACACCCCCTAGGAGACTCTCTTCTCCCCAAGCTCTGTCTCTTGGCACCCTGCCTGGTTGCCGTGGAAACAGGTTCCACTGCGGACAAAGGAGGGAGCTGGGTCCTGCTTGCTTCCAGTCCTGTCGATGAGGATTTTTAGACCGTGGAGACTGCGTTGCCCTGCCCTGCACCTGCCCTCGCTCTCTGTATTCTCACTCAGGTGGAGCTTGCCCACCCTCGCCACTGACGAGACCATGTGTAAAAGCGTGACCACCGAAGAATGGAAGAAAGTCTTCTACGAGAAGATGGAGGAGGCAAAGCCGGCTGACAGCTGGGACCTCATCATAGATCCCAACCTCAAGCACAATGTGCTGGCCCCTGGCTGGAAGCAGTACTTGGAATTGCATGCCTCGGGCAGGTGAGTACCTCAGTAAGTAGAGGCCCTGGAGGCAGCCCCTGGGGCACCTTCAAAGAGTAGACGGAGACCTGGAGAACCCAGGTGCTTAGGGTCAGTCTAAGCGGGAGGCAGAGAAAGGGTCCCTCCCTGGGAATTGGGACACTTGAACTTGATTCTAGCTCTTCCCCTGAGCACATGTGTAACTTTCCTTCTCTGAGCCATAGTTTCCCCTTCTAGAAAAAGAGATGGAATATATTTATTCGTTCTAAACTCTGACATTTTACCTATTTTCAGATTTTAATAATCTCTTAAAAATGGTTGAAAACTAAGAGAAGGAGGGTTTCAGGTCCACTGAGGGTCAAAAGGTCTGTGCTCTGGTCCTGGGACAGTTCAGTTTCAGTCTATTTAATTTAGCTTGACTTAATATAAAGTATTGTACACATGAAGTGTACTGGAAAATGCCTCTTCTCTTAGCTCCACAGCTCTTGAGTAATTCACTTACCTTCTTGGACCTCATTTTCCCCTTTTGCAAAAGGAGGGGTTAGCCTAGATCCTTGCCTTCCGGTTCACGGAGCAGCAGCATAACTATCATCTGAAACTTGTTAAAGATGCAGAATCTCGGGCCTCATTCTAGACCTACTCACTCAGAATCGGCATTTCAACAGATGTGAATTACAACAAGGTCCCTAGATGATTTGTATGTAAAATCATATCTGAGATGACTTTCCAGCACTACTGTCCACAGGTCTATTACGTAAAGACTTACCTTTGGGACATAAGATGGGAGGCTAGGTGGTGCACCCTGGGGGTGAGAAGCAAGGCCTTCCTTCCTGCCCTGGTTCAGTCCATTCAATTCAATTGAAGAAACATCTATCAAGCACCTGTTATGTGCTGGGTACTGGCTCTGCCTCTAACTAGCTGTGTGTACACGGATCACCATCTTTTCTGTGCCTCAGAGTAGAACAAAGTGTTAATCAAGTGATTTCTAAGGTCCCTCCAGTTCTATTTTCCAAGCCAAGTTTTGTAGTCTAGTCTGGGAGAGGGGAAACAGTCCTCAAAGGATGTGAGTGAAAGAGAAGAGATGAGAATGAAAACATGAAACCCCTAAACTAGCTGATGAGAGGGGCTCAAAGGGCTGGACATTTGTTGGCAGGGCCTAGGAGCTTTCTGAAGACCTGGAAAGATTGTGGGGTTGAGTGGGGAGGGCTTATGGCCCCTCCAGACCTGGCTGGTGACCTGTGATCCCCAGCTGGCCCAAGTCAGCTCACTCTGAGCCTTGGGATGTATTAACCTTGCCACTGGCCCAGAGGTGAGAAGTGGTGATGGTGTCATTTTCTCCTGATTTGAGTCTAGCCTGTTCAGTCGGTGCTGACAGCTAAGAATATGTGGATGGCTTAAGCGTTTCCTATATGGTGCAGGCCATTCCCTGCTATCAGACTCAAAGGTAATCTGAGCAGGAAGGACTCACTAGTGCACCGTGAGCACTTTACAGATGAGGAAAGATGCCCAGAACCAAAGTCCCAAGGGCAAGGCCTGCGGGTATTGGGATGGAGAGATCCGAGGCCTCTGCAGAGCACCGAGGAGGTGGGCTGGTAAGGACAGAGCTCTGCTGGATGCCAGGTGCATCCTGAGGTGCCCGCTCTGGTCCTAAAGGGCACAAGGGGCAGGCTGGGTGGCAGCCTGGGGATAGCTAATGAACCCATGGGGCAGTAAACACACCACCTTTACCTCCACCTCTAGGCTCTGCCTACTTCCCCTAACCCCCTTCCTGGAGCTGTTTCCACCACCTCCACTCCATCCTCTCCTCCTACTGCTCCCCCTTCCCGCAGGTTCCACTGCTCCTGGTGCTGGCATACCTGGCAGTCGCCCCACGTGGTCATCCTCTTCCACATGCACCTGGACCGTGCCCAGCGGGCAGGCTCCGTGCGCATGCGCGTCTTCAAGCAGCTGTGCTACGAGTGCGGCACCTCGCGGCTGGACGAGTCCAGCATGCTGGAGGAGAACATCGAGAGCCTGGTGGACAACCTCATCACCAGCCTGCGTGAGCAGTGCTATGGCGAGCGTGGTGGCCAGTACCGCATCCACGTGGCCAGCCGCCAAGATAACCGGCGGCACCGCGGCGAGTTCTGCGAGGCCTGCCAGGAGGGCATCGTGCACTGGAAGCCTAGCGAGAAGCTGCTGGAGGAGGAGGCGACCACCTACACCTTCTCCCGGGCGCCCAGCCCCACCAAGCCGCAAGCCGAGGAGGGTTCAGGCTGCAACTTCTTCTCTATCCCGTGGTGCTTGTTTTGGGCCACGGTCCTGCTGCTGATCATCTACCTGCAGTTCTCCTTCCGCAGTTCCTTCTAGGATTCCCCTTGGTGGGCCCGGGGGCACTCTAAGGTCCCAAGGCCTGTAGGGGCCAGCCAGCTAGTGCGAGGGGGCGAAGAGAGACCTGGGTTGGGTGGGAGTGGGGTTGAATTCTAGCCCTGGTGCCGCCACTGACTCGGTGGGGACCCTCGACAAATCACCTAGTTTTTCCATCAATAAAATTAAGGATTTGGGCTAGACCATTGGTTTTTCAAAGTGAAACCCAGGGCCTCAACGTTCTGCATAGGTCCCTCAGGAACTTTTGGATTTGGAAGGTAGTCTGAGTAAGTGGGCTTCCTATCCTGGTCAAACCAGCCATCCCCAACTCCTACCTCCTCTCTTGCTTTAATCAGAACAGCTCCGTCTTAGATGGAGTTCCATTTGAGAGTTTTGTATGAAAAAATTCAACTGCTTTAAAAAATTATGAAAATTACAGGATGAGGTGATCTCAAAGGTCTTTCCACAGTGATGAGCTCATCCTTGCTTTCTTAACTCTGCACCCCTACCCCTCATTATCTCCCACACCTGGAGCTGCAGCCTTAAATTAGCCTCTGCCTAGTGTGTGAGTCTCATCCACGGCTCTGCCTCCATGCACACAGCAGAGGTTCCTCTTGAAGAGAGAGAGGTGGGGGCTCTAGGCTGTCCCTTTGTTGCTGGGCACCCAGGGTCCCTTCTGTTCCCCACACTCCCAGCTTCCCCCCACTCAAGGTGGATTCTGGGGTCTGCCTGGCTCAGAGATGGTGGTTGTGGTGGAGTCCCACAGAGCTAGGCTTTCCACCCATTGAATATGAAGTGGCCCAGAATTTAGGGGAGGTTAGAAGGTAGAGTGTTAGAAGCAAAGCACAAAATCTCTAGGAAACAAATATAATGACTTTCCATTATAATGAAGAGTCTTCAGAGTTCAGGGACCAGAGGTCAGGGACCAAGTCTGCCTGATTCTCAGTGGCTCTGATGGCCAGAACATAGGAGCAGGGGCCTGGCCTCCTGGGCCCTTTGCTGCAACCCTCACTGGGGGGCTTTCCTACATGGCCATGCATGGGCCCTCTCACCAAAGATCAGCTGTCCACCTAGAACCACCAGGATGGGGGTCATTAGTAAGAAGGGAGTGTTAAAGATGTGAAGTGCTTTGCTCATAGTGAAGTGCACGGGTATGTGGGTGAATCTTATATTTCTTTGAAGTGGGATGCAATAGGGTTTGGAGTGGAAGGAGAGAAGACTTTCTGTTAGTAGGGGTATGAAGTGGGGTGTCGGGGGAGGCAGAAAGGAGAAAGTGGGATGCCACCCTGCACTTCTGAGGGTCCTCGTTCACCCCACCTCTGTTAGTAAGTTGACTGCCTCTCCCCCTTCCCCCACCACTCCCCTTGTAATAGAAAGTCACCACCATCTAGTGGTGGAGGGAGGAGGGCCGCTTATATGAAGATGGGCTACTTTAATAAAGACGAGCTATCTTCTGTCATGCTTAGTAGTCATTAATGTGTGTGCTTGGGATTCACCGCAGTCCTTGATCTGTAATGGGCTGTTGGATCACCCTCCCCCATCCCCTCCATCCCCTTCTGGGGCCCCCACATAAGGCTTTATCTAGCTCCAGCTTCAAAGTCTGGGCCAGTCTTATCTGTAGTCAGGAGGGGTGTAGGCAGCACTTGGTCAGTCCTCTAGGGGACTCAGCGTAAGACCAGTCTTACTCCTGCCCTTGCTCTGCTTCTAGTGACTGGCTGGTGACTTCCTTCACTTCATTCATGCAGTATTTATTCCTTTATCCAGGCCACATATCTTGAGCACCTTCTATCTGGCAAGCCCTGATTTGGGTGCTGGGATCCAGTGGGCACTCAGTGGGCAGGCCCTGTCTCTCAGCCATCTCTCTTTACTGCAGAAGTTCTCAACCCTGGCTGCACTTTAGAACTCCTGGGGAGCTATTAAGGAAATATCGGTGCCCAGCCTCCAGCCCAGACCAATAGAGTCAGAATTTCTGGGCCTGAGGCCTGAGCATCTGAATTAGAATAAGACTCACAGGTGATCCACCTGTGCTGCCTGGTATAATGCTTCTCACTGAGGAGCAGACTTCCCCTTGCACCCAGTCTTATAATGATGAGCCCTGAGAACTTCCTCGTGGACCTGCCTTGGATTTTCTAGGACTAGGGCTCAGCTTCCCTGTGCGCTCCCCACCCCCTGCCCTGGGGACTTGACTCTCCCTCAAACCTTCCTGCTCCAGCCTGTCTGCCTGCTCTGATGGCTTTATCCTGCTCTGAGAAGCTTCAGTATTGAGCTCTGCCACTTTGCCCAGATGACCATCAAACTTTGTTATAATTACTTGTCTATGGCTATACTTCCTGGTAGAATGTGACCACAGTGCAGAAGTGACTTACCCCAGGTCCCATTGCCAGGTCGTAGCAGTCCAAGGAGTCGAACCCTCACCTAATTTTAGTCCAGAACTCTTCTAAAGCATTAAGACTCTTCCTGCTCTGTAGGAGGATGTTTGCAATCGATGGAGGCCTCCCCTTATTATCTCTTATACTTGCTACAGATGGAGAGATCTAGCCTTGCTCACTGGCTCAGACCTTGTCTTGCAAAGAACTTCTCTGGGACAGTTCTTTCTCTGTGAACATGGCCACATGCCACATGATGAACTTGTTAGATGTAGCCTAGGTATTATAAATAAACTAAGGGACATTCCAGGATTCCAAGCTCTCTCCCACTAGAGCTTCTGTGCACTGGTCTTGATGTTCAAGCCAGGAAGAGACTCACAGGCACTGAATTGTGGTTCCAGAGGATGAAATCCTCACTTCCCTCAAACTCTTCAGGACAGGGGACCAGCCCAATGGGAGAACTCTTTCTGGGGGCCAGGAGCCCTGAGAACCAAGGAGATCGCCAACTAAGGACAATCTCAGTGTATTAAGTCCATAAACCACCAGAGCTGTAAGACAGATATGAGACATCTCCATCTAGGGCCCTTATTTTATGGGTAAGAAACTGAAGCCTAGAGAAAATAAGGAAATTGACCAGCATTGTCCAATAGGCAGTAAGGGAAAATCATGAAATTTGGGGTCAAGAAACACTTGAGTCCTGGCTCTGCTACTTACCAGCTGTATGGCCTTAGGAAAGTTACTTAATCTCTTTGAGCCTCATTTTCCTCTTTGTCAAAAATGGAGGGCTATTGTAGGGAATAAATAATACACTGCCTGTGACATTGCCTGATACAGAGCGCATGCTCATCCTCTTCTTGTTTCCCCGTTCCATTTCAACTGGCAGCCTCCTCTCTGAGTCCTGAAGTGCTCTTTCTCTTTGTTATTTCAGCTCTGTTGGTAAATGCTTTAGGAAAAAAAATGGAAGGCAAGGGTTAACTTCCCAGCTCAAGGGTTAGAACTGGTTTATTTTAATATATGTGAAGTCATTTCTTTTCTTCTCTTCATATTTATTTCAAAGCAATGACTTCATTTTTCCAGCATCATGGTAGCCACTCTTCATTCTCCAAAGATAGCTATTTTAGAAAGCTCCCAAACAGAAAACACCAGTGATTTCTGGGCTCCATTCCCATTGGCTGACATAGCCCAGAAAGAATTTAGTTCTTTTCCAAGTCCCATTCTGTTTCTCTGTAGGACTCCCAACTAAGGAATTTCCTTTGGAATCATTTTTGGCATTGTATGGATACTGCCACATGCATCAGGGAAATGAAAGCTGCCTGTTGTATGGCTATTCTGGGAAGGGCTTGTGAGGTTGGGTAGGGTGGTAGTCGTGGTATAGAATGCTCACTGGCCTGGGAGCTGGACAACCTGGTTTCAGCCCTGATTTCCCCATTGTCTAGACATCTGTGTGCTGACCTTGGGTGACTTAGTCTTTCCCCTCCCCTAGGTCTCAGTGTCCTCATTTGTAAAGCAAAGAGGTGCAGAGATCTGCAGGGTCCCTGCTAGTGCTGACCTTGCTCACCAAGTGCTGCTTAGCCCTCTTTGCCCTCAGGCATGTGGGATGTTGCCCTGATCCTGACCCCTCCAGCAGGTCACCTAGTTGTGACCCCAGGATTTCAGTCTGCCTAGGTCTGTTTGGAGTTTGACCCTCTTATCTGAACATCTATAATATCTTTCTTTCTGTTCCTTCTGGAAGCAATCTTTTACACGTTAGTCTGACTAGACCTCTCTCTAAAGGTATTCACATTTTGAAAGGTGGTCACCTTGAGAGGTGTGGCCTTGTATGAGGACTTGGGTGGTAGTGATGGAATTTCAGTCTGTGTCTTATCCTCTCACTTTTAAAATAAGCCCAATCATTCTTCACTCCCATCTTAATAGGGTCATAGTACTATTTTGAGGACATAATGGGATATTCCATATTTTCAAGATTCATTCATTCAACAAATGTTTATTGAGTACATATTATGTGCTGGACATTGTTCTAGGCACTCAGGATATCGTGGAGAGCAAAGCGACTAAATTGCTGACCTTATGGATAACAAAGGAACTAGACAATAAACAAGTGAGTTGTGTGGTGTATTAGTGTTAGTACTAAGGAGAAGAATGAAGCAGGCAAGGGAGCTAGGAAGGGCAGGGGACAGAGTTATAATGTTAGATTAGATAGGCAGGGAAGAGCCAGCGCTGGTGTTACAGTGGTTAAGATTCAGTGCTGTCATCATTACAGCCCAGGTTCATCCTGGTGGGGAACCACACCACCCTCTGTCAGTTCTCATATTGTGGTGGCTGTGTGTTGCTGTGGTTCTGGAAGCTATGCTACCAGTCATTGCCAGGACATTGGTTTTTAATCTGAACGAGACAAGAAGCCACTGGGAGAGTTTGAGAAGTGGGGTGATGCAATCCAATTTACCACCACCATGTGGAGAATAGACCACAGGGGACAAGAATGAAAGAAGACAGATTAGCCAGGAGGCTCCTGCTGTAATCCAGAAAAGAGGCGATAGTGGCCTATTCCAGGGCAGTGGCCGTACCAGGATGGCGGCCGTACCAGGATGGCAGCAACTGGGATTGAGATTGGATATATTTTATATATAATTTTATATACATTTTCACTTATTTATATATATAACTGCAATAATGGATTTATATATGTATTTATATATAAACATATAATTTTCTGTATATTTTATATATATATATAGAGAGAGAGAGAGAGAGAGAGAGAGCTGAGAGGATTTGCTGATGACTCAGATATGGGATCTGAGAGAAAGAGGAGGCAAAGAGGCCCAAAGTTTTTTGGCCTGA